ATTCTGGCAAAAAATTCCTACAGAAAATGTTAGTATTCTTTTGTGTTTCAGCCTTTAAGTTTCTGTACAACTCTTACTTCTTTTATATTGTAAAGATTATTGCTTACTCAATTAATCACGCTCCAGACTATACTTGTATAAGTAATATTTTCTACACTGTTGAGGATTTTATGCTTAAATTCAATCAAGGAAATCTTTGTTGAGTGTAAAATGCAGTATCCAAATATATTCTAGCTGGTTTGAGTTTGGAAAGTCAATCTTGATTGTTTTCTTTATATGAGGAAAACAGTTTGACAAATAGAAGTTCTGTTTTGTCATACCAGAGAACTTATTCTTCATTCTGAGAGTCATTGATAGCTTTAAAAGTTTATGTGTCTTCCTATTGAGGACAATGCTGGGCCCACTTTCTCTTCTGTCTTGGCAAGCCTGGTCTCTTGAGTTCTCACATTCTTTAATTCCTTAAACCTTTAATCTGTTGCCCCAGGGACAATTTTACTTATAGCTTATGTGTTATGACTCACTTCTAGGATTTCTTCAAAAAGGGTAAAAAAGAATTCTGTATACAAAATGAATCTGGTATGAGATAATTTATTATGAAGTAATTTATTCCTATACACAAAATGAATGCTAAAGATATAAAACTTACAGCACATATGAACTGAAGAATTTAAAGTAGCATTTAGTAACTTATTTTGTAACTACTTCTTATTTGCTCAGAAACTGATACTTCAGCTTCATCAGAACATCATGCAGTTTGTAGGACTGATAATTAGGCATTATACATTTCACCTAAGCTCTGCACTGTCCAAACGACTCCTGCTTACACATCTTCTGGGCTTAAGGGAGGCTAGGGGGAGGCTTTGGACGTCCTGTTCTTGATGACTGTCCTTTCCAAAGTCCATTGCTAAGGATTTCTCCTGCTGTAATTAAAGTCTGACCTAATGGGACTTCTAGAATTCCTCTTGAACTTACCAGGTCACCTCTAAGACCAGAGGATGTCTGGTCTTAGTCAGGATGGATACTCTTTGATAAGATCAGGAAAGAACAAACAAAATGAAGCAAAGGCATCTAGAGTTCCCGGGGCAAAATCACCGTCCTAGCTGTCATATGGGCATGGTTGCTATGATGCTGGGATGGGGGCAAACGCCAGCCCTTCTCTCACCCTTCACTTATCTTTTTATCGACACGTTTCATGAGATGGAAACATCTCCACTTTATCCTGTAGCCTGGGCATGGCACTGACCAACTCATGTGTGTAGGGTGGTCTATAAGCATGGCATTTGGTATGGTCCCTGCCCTACTCCTCCTTCTCTCACTCTAACACATTAAGGAACAAAGGGGGAGATTCCCAGAAGAGACCCAGTCACAGTCAAAGCATGCTGCTACAACTTAAACTAAGGTCCTCTGTAGAGCTAACTTTGATGTGAAAGGGAAACGCTTCTGAGCCCTCACCATTGTTTTTCCCATTTCTACAAGTCAGTCACAGTGGTACCATTAACTTTTTTAAAAAATAACATTTATTTTCTCCCAGTTACATACAAAGACAATTTTTAATATTCATTTTTAAAAAATACAGAAAGCAAAAAATAGTATGCTTTGATCTGTATTCAGACTCTTTCATTTCTTTCTCTGGAAGTGGATAGTATTTTTTCCATCATGAGTCCTTTGGAATTGTCTTCGATCATTGTATTGCAGAGACTAGCTAAGTTATTCACAGTTGATAGTTGTACAGCATTGTTTTGGTACCATTAACTCTTAATCGTAACAACTACTCAATAGAAGGTAAAAACAGGAATAATCAAAGGGTCACAGTATTGCACTCACAAACTTGGGGCATGTTCTCCCACCATTGTACACAATGCTTGTGGGTAAGAGGAGGAAAGGGTACACGCTAGAAGTGACATAAAAGAGGAGGGAAAAATGCATGTGCCCGGGGCAACTCGTGACTGGACTAAAGGCCTGGAACTTAGTGAGGGTTTGGGGAAAATAATCTGTGCCACACATTACCTCCTTTTCCTGAGTCTCTCTCCTCTCCTACTGGACAAAACAACTTCCTTGCTGTTTTCATGCTGAGAGAACGGTGCTGAGTAGAGAGCAGCATTACATTGTTACATTGAAACAGTAGCCCTAAGCCAAGGCTGTGCTGGTTTCCAACCTTGCCTCACCTTGGCCAGGTGCAGAAGCAGTGTTAAGCAATTGTTTTCAGTGACAAGTACTTCCCTTAAACTGGGAAACAGCAAAGTTACCCAGATTTGCTTCCTGGGCTTCAAGGAGCTATCTTCTTCTTAAGCCACAAAGAGCAGTGCAGCCGAGACCTTCAGAGCTTTCCTGACTCCAGGGCTTGGATGCCAGTAAAGAGTAACACAGATAGGCCCAGCCAGCTTTTCACACAGCTCTTCTCCTTTTTCTAGTCATCATCTAGAAGTTCCCTTCCCCGGTCAAAATCTATGCCAGATCAGCTTTAGGGATTGCCAGTCCTCAGCCTTCAAACCGTGAATAGCATTGAAGAGCAGTACAGAGACCCTGATAGCTTTTCCCACAGCAGGATTCTCATTTTTCCACTGAGCTTCCTGCAGCTGCAGATTCTGCCTTACTTCAGTCAGCTCTTTTAACTGATTCAGTCTAAGACAGCTGCTTTTATCTTTTGATTTTCCTCTGTTCTGCTTCTGTCTCAGTCACCGGCTTCCTTCTTCAACTGGGTGTTATGTCTTCTCATTCTTCCCATCTCAGACTTCTTTATCATGTTACCTTATCTGCCTCAAGTCAGGGCCTCCTTCTGAGTAGTGCCTATCTCCAGTTCAGATTTAGGATCCCCAAATCCACAGTCTGTATGTATGACACATACAGGCCATATATGGTCATTATTCCCATCTCTCCCCCACTGGAACATTGGGCTCTCATAGGTGAGCTTTCACCTTAATTTGCCAGGAACTATAATTCCACAACATTCTCCAGCCAATTTTCCTACTTTCTTCCTCCCCCCCAATTCTTTTTATGGGTTATTGTCCTCTATTAGAATGTAAGCTTCTTGAGGAAAGGGACTGTTTTATTAAATACTTTATGTATGTACAGTTTTTCCAAAGTCCCCAAATACTCCTTTGATTTACAGTTTCTCAGCTATAGCGTTCAAATCCCTGAAAACATTCATATGTAAATAAACTGGGTAGACAGTAATGCAGTTCAGCCATCCTCTTGTTTTCTCAGTGCTTTTGCTTCTGAGCTACTTTAAAACAGACCTTCTTGATATGTTTATCTGAAGGACTGTTTCCTCTCAAGTTGCTTTTCTCAATGCCATTTTTAGCTCCTTTCAGTATGAACACGTCCCTATATGAAAATGGCAACACTTTACTTTGAAGCTAGAATAGCTGGAAAGAAGTTAGAAAAAGTTTATCACAGAATATTAGTGTGTCTTTGCTTCAAACCAGATACTCCTTTTCTTTGTTTCTGAGCAACAGATTCATTATTTGACATCTCTGTGATAAAGTGACAAATATACAAAATCTTTAGTTAGATGTAATCCTTGTTTTTTATTTATATGCTTCATGAGATAGAAAATCATGTTATTCTTTTTTAAAAATCAACAAATATTTAGGAAACACCCCACAGAGATTTTTTCTTTTCTTTTCTTTTAAATTTTATATCTTTTTTTGGCTAGGCAGTTGGGTTAAGTGACTTGGGCAGGGTCACACAGCTAGCCCAGAAGCTTTCAGAAGTGAAATGGTTGCCTTAGATGGTGAGCTCTTTTCATTAGAAGTCTTCAGTTGGAGGCGAGATTATCTTTATTGGGAATATTGTAGGAAGGATTTCTTTTCAGGTCTAGATTGGAAGAAGTGACCTCTCTTCCATCTCTAATATTACTGTCTCTGATACAGAAAGAAGTATTGAGGAGGGTCTCTTTCTTTAAGGGGTAGACAGTATAGTTGGGCAGACAACATTTGCCTATGGGAAACAATTAGAGAACAATACGAGACATTGTACAATTAAGAACAAAATTATGTGGTGCTGTAGGAATTCAGTGCAGTGGAGACCTATTTATTTTTATAGCAATAATACCAATTTAGGGAAATGATGTTTGCCTTTATATAAATATAGTCTAATATGATTATTTTTTCTAAAATTTTTAATGTTTTTGTTTTAGACAATGTATGTTTGAGGAGAATATTTGAAGGAAAAATTGTATTTTAAATATTTGGAAATTTTGTGATTGCTGTCCATCTAAAACAACTCAATTTAAACTAAATTTAGTATGCATCAAACAATATATAAGGAACCTCAGAGGTCAAATCACTAATGCCTTACTATTAACATTATTTTGAGCTCAAAACAGTTTGTTTACATCATTTTTCTTTTTAATGTTCTCTGTAAGGTAAATGTTATCTGTTCTTGAGGAAGCTAAGACAGAGAGGTCTCAGTACTGAGTACCCTAAAGGTCAGTAATAAAGCCATACTAGAAACCAAATTTGATTTTCCAAAACCAACTAGATGGCTTCAATTTAAAATATTTTTCCTTTCTGGGAGTCAGAGTGTGTACGAATAGGCATCATATTCTTGAGCTGTTCTGTACTAGTGAGAATCCCAAGAAATTATTAATAGATTCAATACAAATCAGTTATAACCGTTAAGTATCTGTATTCACTATTGCCGTTAATAATAGCTTTGCTCACGTTTTAAATACCATTTTCATGTTAAAGTGAAAAACACCATAATATTCTCAAGAATTTGGTATTTGGAAGATTGGCTTGCCTGAATTGGCAAGAAGCCATGGAATGACAAAGAAATTAATTGAATTACCCCCATATGTATGGGTATCTACATTGAAATGGAATAAAAACACTCTAGTAGGAGGTTTCTATGACTTTTAAGGTTTAGGCCAAACTAAAAAAAAATGTCAAACATAAACCTTCAAGCTTGTGAAAGCTAAAGAGCGTATTATCTTTCAGTTCCTAATTAAATTTTGTGTCTTTCTCCTCCCCCTCCCTTTCCCTCTCTTCTCATTGCAGCCATAGACCTTTTGTATGGGGGTATATACTGCTTTATGTGTCAGGATTACATATACGACAAAGACATGGAACAAATTGCCAAAGAAGAACAACGGAAGGCTTGGAAATTACAAGGTTTGGTTTTCCTTAAGTATCTGCCTCATTTATTGATTAATCATTCTAGTCCCTCACATCTGTCATTGGCAAAAACCAGTAAGGGGAAGAGAGAAACCTCCAGAGACAGTGGTGAAAGTTGGGGGATGGGTAGCATTGCTTTCTAGGAAGTTAGACTGTTTACTTAAAATATGCACTCCTCAAAATTGTAGCAAAACTGCTTTAAAAAAATTAGGTAAGTGTCTTGATTAAGCTAAAATTATGTCACCAAAGTAAAATTATTATCAGGTAGAGAATGTAATGATCTACCTAGTAGCTATTTTAGAGCTAAGCCTTAGGTAATGAGTCTGTTCCCCTCACGTGAAATGCCTTCTTTATATGTGTCTGATTTTTACCTATTGTGCCTACACACACATACACAGAGATTACTCACTTGCTGTCACTTTCCTTTTCTTTATTCACAAACCATGTCTATATTATGTATTTGTAGAGTTATATTTACACACAAAAATATCTATGCACACATTTGTTTTATTATTCAGTTTGCTTTCCCTAATTTTTCTTTTTTAGCTTTCACCCCAACAGTGGTTTCTCACTACCAGTGTACAATGACAGGTAAGAGGCACGGGCTGATGACACACTTAACTAATGAGCGTCCCTTTGGGGAATTATCCTGCCATTTTTAGGCAAAAATGATGGTTAAGAAATCAACTTTAGAGTAGCAGTTCGTTGTCTTTTTTGCAAGAAGAGATTTTAGGAATACATACATAAGTAATAACATGACAAATCCCTGTCATGATTGAGCTACTCTAAAACGGTCCTTTTTAGGGAATATAAGATTGAAAACAGGTGCTGTCACTGATGCTAAAGTATGTTTGTTTAGTTGAGTTTTTTTAATGCTCTACAAAACTCATTTTGAGATTTCAGTGATTGAATTTTTTTTTCCTTAGAAAAACTGAATTACCAGCTTTTGGTCTGTATTCAATGCTATAGTAGAATAGATATTTTCTGAAAATTCACAAAAATAGAAAATTGAGTAACTTTGGACTGGTGAATTACCATTTTGTCCAGTTCTTTAGTGAAATTGAATTGGTTACTGCCTTATGTAATTAAATGACATAGTCAGTAATACCAGTGCTGTTGCTAATTTTGAGAACATTGGTCAATGATGACCAAGACTGATCAGCTAGAAAATGAATGGCCATGTTTTCTTTCCTATGTGTTAGACCTTTTTGGGGGGTGGGGAGATATGGAAGTCCCTAATAGGATTCTCTTCTGAGACTTTTCTTTCTTAAATATACAGCTTCAAAATACCCTGGCACTTTGGGAATAGATCCAGAGATTCTTATCATTCCAAATAGACTCGCAGGTTTGAGATGTAGCAAAATATCTTCACTTAAGAGCAGTTGTTCTTAAGAACTGGAATCTTTCTTTTACTGTGACTTCCTAAGGTCAAAGGCCACTTGTTATAGGTAGTAAAAATCCTTTGGAGCCAAGAGTTTTCTCAGCAGTCCTGGAGGTGTCACAAAGGAGAAGCTAGTTCAGTCTTCTGTCCACCAAGCTTATGCTGCTTCCCTTTCTAATGAGTGCCAGTGACAATAAACACATTTACATAGCATTTGTTTTCTTTAAATGTAGAAGCATGTTTAGTATTTTTAAAGTCTAAATTACCTACAGAAAAGGCCATTTCCCATTTATGCCCTTTCATTGTCCAATGTTACTTTTCATTTTCTAATATCATAAGCACAGGAAGACCCACCAAATATTAGAAAACTCATGGTGAATTGAGGAAATCTAGGCTCACTTGAGTCTGTAATAAATTCTCCAAGCTAAGTCTCCAGTAAAAAAAAAAATCTGTTTATTCTTGTATCCCTTTTGGTAGATTTTAGAGCAGTTCAATCTGTAGCAGGAGTGAGATGATGCCAGATTTTTGAACATGGAACTATTAGGATAACATTCTTTTCCTCCTCAAAGGGCTTTCCTGCATTTGCCTAGGACAGAACTTCATGCCTTGCATCTAGTCTCTGCTCATTTTCTAAATGTTCCTGTTTCAAAAGTCATGGGCCTAGGAGTTAACTATAACAGGAAAACAATTGCTCAGAATTAATTGCAGTGTCACACAATTGACTTTCATGTCCCCTTTACCAGGGAAAAGTTTGTGGTGACAGTTTTGGGGAAAAACAAACATCAAACATTTAATGAATCTGAAATCTATGCTAGTTAATCATCCAGCTGTCCTCAGCAAACATGGACTAAAGAGCCTCTGTTTGAGCTAGGCTGCTACAGAAGGCATTTTAATAATTTGCTTTGTTTTCATGGGCAGGGCCGAAGTCAGCAACCATTTTCAAGGAACTGCTGTATTGAAAAACCTCTTTCAGTGCAGGTTGATGATTGTCTAAAGGATAATCAACTACAAACTAGGCTGCCTTTTTTGATTCTTCAAATAAAACTGTTTGTTATCCATCATAGACCCAAGAACCACAGTCGTGTCTTTCCTTTTAGAGCAGGGATTCTTAACTGGGGTCCATGAACTTATATTTCAATACAAACATAAACTGTATTCCAATATAATTGGTTTCCTTTGTAATCTTACATGTTTTATTTTATGCCTTTAAAAACATTATATTCATAAGGAGTTCGTAAGTTTCCCTAGGCTGCCAAAGGGATCCATGACATACAAAAAGGTTAAGAATCCCTGCTTAGAGGAATGGCTATTGATAATTATAGATTATTTTTATTTTTAGTCCTTTTTTGAAATAGCATGAGTTGGTGCTAAAGCAAAAAATGTTGAACAGAGCAGACATTGGGACCCAGGATATTAACTTTTAGTCGCAGTATGTTCTGTTACTTTTTGTATAAAAAGGTTACCATAAATAAATTTCTTATGCTCATTTCCATATCCTCTTGTATCTGTGCTCATCTGTGTTACTTGTGCCACTTCACAAGTAACAAATAGAATGTAACTATTAAAATTTGCCTAACGTTAAGCCACAGAGTAACTGCTCAATAAAATCCCAAGTTAAATTCCATTAGATGCTCTTAAATTTAAAGTGTTAAATTAAAATCATTACAAAGCTATTAAATAGCTTTCACCTTTGAGAGCGCATCAAGGAAAATGAGTCAAATATTATTTTTACTCCTCACACAAATTAGAATTGGTCAATTCAGATAACCAGCCTATCATTCTCATTATATTAAACAGTACATCAAATTCATAAGGAAATGGGACAAAGTCAGGGAACAGAAGATGCAAACTTAGAAAATAACATCTGTTTTTGTATTCCAAATAAAGTGTAAGTAATGTTTTGGTGCAGGTATGCTTACTCATGAAGTTGGATCTTTGTCCTGTGGTTAGCCTTGCTCTTGTCCCACTTGAAATTGCTCAACTCTCATTAAAAATGTGCAGTTTAAGGATACTCATGTACTATGCTTGCATGAATATTTTTTTAGGGAAGTTTATTAAGTTTTCATTTAAAAGTGCTAGTCTATGTTTGCAAGAGGTTGTTAGAGAAATTATTTTTGTCCTTATTTTATTTCTGAGTCCATTTTTCATCACATTTGCTATTTTTATTTTAAAGAAAATGTTCAGTGTGACTGTTGGTGCAAATTATTATTACTCAAGTGCTTTTTGTTATGAAGGGAGAAAAACTCAAGTTCTTCTGTCTTTGAACCATGGAAGAATTCAAAATGGTTTTTTTATTTGACATATGGGTTTTTTTCCCCCAAGGGCTCTACTGTTCTAAGCTCTAAATTGATTTTTAAAGGTTGATGCCTTTAAGTGATGAAAGAGAACCTTGAAGGAAAGCATTGTGCCTGTGTCACTTTTCAGTGTTTATCTTTCTCATTGTTTATTTTGGCATTAATACCAAGAATTTTTAATTACTTACAAAGCAAAATCTACCTCTTCCTTCATGATGTATAAAGCAGTTGTATGGTTTACTCTGGTTTATATTTTATAAGAGTATTTAGATATTTACATCCATAATAATAGGATAAAACACATCAGTATATCTAAAAATATTACTTTTTACCAAATGACCTTAGTTAACCAGTGTGCTGTGGTTTAACAAAAAAAAAAAACCAAAAAAAGAACAAACAAACAAAAAAAACTAAATATGAACTCAAGTTTAGTAACTGGTTCTTCTAATTCATCTAACATAGTTAGTCAAGCAACTTGTTTGGAAAACTTAAAGCAAATTTGTATTGCCTTCTGCAGGGGCTCTGACTCTTCCCCCTCAGTAATACTCTTTTCACACTGCTTTATGCATGTAGAAACTAGTATAGGCACAAATGAATCAGGTGTTTTGTGGAGGATAGTGGGGCAGGTGGGAGTGAAGAAAAAATTAGGACACATAGTAAATTTTCATTCTCTCTCATGCTTGGTATCAAAATATATTCAATTGATAAAAGTAAAATAAAACCAAAAGAGAGGCATATCTTTGCAAGCATGTACCTTGGCAGATTATGAATATGAATAAATCTCATGCTTCTATGCAGATCCTTTTGAGGGAATGGTGACAAGGTTGAGGGGAAGCAAGGTGGGCATGACTCAGATTTTGGTTGGGTTAACTTGCTGTCAGTCATGGCTATTTCTGAAAATGAACATCAAAGACTTCTCCAAAATTAACTTGTACCGTGCTGAATGTGTGTAAGCCTTCAGCAGTATTTTCTGCACCTTTTCTTTTCTTCTTGTGTGATTTATAATTCATTTCCTGCACCATAGTTTCAGTGATATGCATTCTGCATAGAATATACTGAACTCTAATTGACTTTAATCTTTAGTTTTGAAATAAATTGCCTGTCTCAATGCCAACATGCTTTTGTAACTCACTATCACTGGTGTTGCATAGCAATTCCTTTTTTTTCCCCCCTGCATAGAATACTGCAGCAGCACTTTAGTTGGTCAGTTCTCAGGTCTTCTTTGTTGCTATGGTTTTTCTGTTTCAAATTATAGTAGAAGCACAAATTCTGTATGCATTAACCTGTCACGTTTGCTGTTTGCCCTCTTGGTTTTTGTTCTCTCTGACTTCAACAACTTCCTATTCTTCCATTCCTCAGAAAAATATCTATAACATAATTGCAACTAAATGAGAATATATTGCTTTGTGTAAAAATAAATAAATTTTTTTAAAATTCAGTGATTCTACAAAATGTGTGTCTGCAGAAAACAGACTTTTTAGTATGTTCTAATGCATTCATCTACTGATGTGATGCTATAATCCTATAGTTGAGCCATATTGAAATTTTTGGCAGCCTTTAACATATAGGCAGTTCACATTTCTGAATAAAATGTGTATTGAGTTCACTTTTGTTTGCTTTTTAGTTATTGTTAGTTTTGCATTGCATCTTTTATAGGATTCAGCTGTCCAGTAAATTGGATCCATTTAAACTTTTTCAAAGGTATCCTTCAGTTTTAATCCTTTAGTGAAGAAGTTTTCATCCAAATTTACTTGTATTTCTACCATCTGTAGATGATCTTGAGGACTCTAACTGTGTTGGTGCCATGATGTTTCTGAATCTCCCAAAAGTCTTGGTGATTCTTGACAAACAAACAAGATCAGAATAACATTGGTACTGGAAGAGATTTAATTTAGAACTTTTTTCCCTCCTCTGTGTATAGGTATAAGCACTTCTTAGGAACTATTGGAAATTTTTTTTTAACTTCATCATTCTGTTTAGTTAATGTCAAAGTCTGTTGTTATCTCTACTGAATAGTTGTGTTTAAAAAAATGGGAGGATGAAGTGAGACAAAACACAGAGAGAATAGAAATTATAGGGCTACATATGTTAAATTCAACTTACTGGACGCTGTATCATATCCTTTATTTGAATACATCCTTGTTGAAACTTACCTAATGATCCCTGAAACTCTCTTTTATCATTTCAGGCATTGGAGAGAAGTATTCAACTTGGGAGCCAACCAAACGGGAGCTAGAATTGCTTCGACATAATCCGAAGCGGAGAAAAATAACCACAAATTGTACCATAGGTAAGTGAAGGAAAAGGTCTCAAATCATTCCTTTGTTGTGATAGTAACAACAACAGTAATAATAGTAGCTAGCATTTACATAACGCTTTAAGATTTGCAAAGCCCTATGCAGATATTCTTATTTTGCCCTAAAAACAATCCCCATTTTACAGATGGGGAAACTTAAGTAACTTGTCTGGTGTCACATAGTAAATATTTGAGGGCAGAGCTGAACGTAGGTCTTCCTTACTCCAGACCCAGTATGCTATCCTCTTCACCACCTTGTGACCAAGTTGCGAAGTTAGAATGAGTTGTCTTTCTTCTCCAAGTTATAGCTTAAAATGTGTTTGCCAGGTTTCGCTCAGTTACTGTAAACACTGGGAAATGTGTTTACTAACTCACTTGTTATTATACTTCTCTCTTGTCCTCCTTTTCGGTGTGTGCACACAAAAAAATCCATCCTACTCTTGAACTACTCATCCTTTCTTATCTAGATGAGAACTCAGAGGGTAGCAGACTCTTTGCTGCCCTAAGATAGGAATCTCATCCTGTGTTAACCTGGTACCTATGTACCTATATTTGGAGGCTTTCAAAATAAATAAAGCACCTTCCCAGTTAACTTTTAGAATGGGTCCGCCAATGGGGGAAAAAATCTTCATGGACTCAAATGTAGAGTGAAGCGAGTTTTTAACTACTGATTTGTTAGCAATGCTATGCTTTCAAAAAGATTGTTTTCATTTATGAATCCGTCCTATAATATTTAAGGAGTCATTGTCTGCATTAACTTCTGGGTTCATTGCTAGTACACTAAAACATAAAGAATATGAAAGATTAATATGTGAAATTTGGGATTAAGAAACCAGCAGTATTAAGGAGGAAACTGGAAATAATTCATGTTAAGAATTTTCTAGTAGTTAGAGTTGGCTAACATGTTGGAAACATAAAGAGGTATTGAATGGAATGGTCTAATTACCATTGTTTAAGAAGGTATGTTTTGTGTACAAGTCTAATTTTGATGATTTAGTGAATCCAGTGTTTTCATCAATGAATCCCTCCACTGGTACAGATTTTAGCCTCTCATCATAGGAAATTCTTATCCATACCTTTCCATATATCATCCACAAAACATTCAACCAGTGCCCTAAGGAACTTCCTCTTATTACTTTAGAATTGAGGGAGTAGGATACCAGTATGCCATTAAAGTCTCCTACCTCTTGTTTCATTGTTGATATGCAACTGGCTCACCTTCTTTCCTTATAAAACTATCCTTACTAATATTTTTTTTTTATTGTATGAGCTTGTCATGATTGATTTCTTGCAACCTGCTTCCTCCCAGCATGTTTATTTCCATTGCTTCTTAGGTTTATTTGTGATTTCTGTTTTTCTGAGATTATGGGTATTCCATAACATCTGACGATATAGCATCTCTGGGAGATATATTTGTATTAAGGATTTGTCTTTTGTGGTGATTTGGGATCATCCAAAGCACTGTATGACTTTTCCATCTGCAACACAATCCAATCCTCCTACTCCAGCAGTGCAGAGTATAATTTTTGGGTTTATGCGTAATTTCTCAGCAGAGGCAGGGAATATCATTGCACCACAATTCAGAGACCGATATGTAACATGCTGTTTCTGAATATAAGCAGTTGTTTTATTTCATTGTTCTTCTCTTTTACTTTTACCATGTGAAGGGATTATGATTAGATCCTTCAGAGATTTTTTTTTTAATTCAGACTGTTAAAAGAGGTAGTTCCAAGTTTATGAAACTTTATTATGCACTACAAAAGAAGAAAAATACCCACCCAACACAGGAAATCAGGGAAATGACTGATCTTTTTTCATGGGCAGACATGCTTTAATAATTTCTCCTACTGAGCCTTTCAGCTGTCTGTATGCCTGACTTTAAAAAGAGATGGAAAAAAATCAAAGCACACAAGAGATTTAATGTGCTTTCAGCTATAGTTAAAGAAAAAAGATTTGCTTTCTTATGTACACATTCACTGGATGTGTACGTGTTAAGACCAAGGAAAAAATACATTTGTCCTTGAATCTTTTCTTTCATCCCCAGATACTGCTAAATATATACCTTCTTCAAAATCTTCCTGTTACAATCCTAATACCAATTTATCTGCTTTGATTTTTGAATCGGCAAACAAGCTATATGCCGAATAAACATTATACTGTATTTTAATGCTACTGTCTAAAAATGAAAGGTTTTTAATTGACCAATAATAAACTATACATTAGCAGATCTATTCAGTCATCTAGGAAGATAAATTATTTAGAGGACTATTGTCATAATTTCTACTGGTTTCATTGAATATCCCTGATCCTGAAATTTCTGCCAGTAATTATGACATATGTCTGAGCAGCATATTGCCTATTATTCCTAAAAATCCTAGTCTGATAAATCTGCTTTTCTTTTTTAAAGTTCAATAAAGATCAGCTATACTAATTTTTTTTTCGTTTTTGTAGAGCTAAGATAAACGTTCATATGAGCTTTCTTTCTTACAATCAACTTTACTTTTATTTCCTTTGGGAAAATATATGGATTACTAAAAGGATGGTTCTTGGTTTCAGATTGGTGCAGCCAATGGTGCTGCCAACAGCCAAGCGTATCAGCAAACCCTTTCTCTTAGGGCACTATACTTGAGCTCAGCCTAAATGCAGCAAGAGACTTAAAAGTGAAGGAGAAGAGGTGGGAACAGCCTGTGCAAAGAACACCAGGGGAGGAGATGGGATGTCTTGTATAGGGCATAGACACTAGCCACGTCTGGCTGGAATTTTGTCAGTGATCTCCTGATTCAGTCTATATTTTCTGCTCCTTCATAGAATCCCTTTCTTCCTTCAGGACTCAGCTCAAATACCATCTTCTACTCCTCAGCTGCTAGTGCCCTTCCTTCCCCAGAGTACCCTGTATTTACATACATTTTCTGAATACCTCTATATTTCCCCTGATAGAATGTAAACTCTTGGGATACAGTAACAGTTTCACTTTATCTCTTGCATCTAGTACAGTACCTGGCACGCAGTAGGGGCTTAATAAATATTTGTTGATATACTATTAGAGGAATTGAATTAAATAAACCATGACATTCTTACTGTAAGGGACAAAAAGAAATTGCTTCTAAGTGGAAGGATAGCTCCATAGATTATTGTTGAGTTGGTTTTATTGTATACCCAAAGACAGCAAAAAACATACTTTCAGGGGACTTTTCTTTATCTATCATTGTTGTTTTCTTTCTCCCCCCCCCGCTTCTTTGGTGAGGCAGTCAGGGTTAAGTGACTTGTCCAGGGTCACACAGCATTGTCATTTTCATGATAACTATTTTAAGACCAGTACAAAAATAATTAACTTGCACACTAGCATCTATTGCAGAGGATAAAGAGATAAAGAAAATCTGTTAATTACCCAAATTAAATCAACATTTACTTTAATACTTAGTGACCTTAACATAAATGTGGGTGTAAAGGGGGATAGTAAATGTATTTTGAAGGACCTAAATAGAAATTTAGAAAAGTTAGATCTATGATTAGGGATTACTGAATGAGAATAGAAAAGAAAATGAGTAAATAAATAAGTAAGTAAATAAGTAAATGGGTGTATATGTATATACATATATATACATTTTTTTTTTACTACATACACTTTTATAAAAAATTGACCTTATATTATGACATTAAAACATCACAAAAAAATATGGAAGAACAGAAATATTAAACATTCTTTATGGTCCAAAATGTAATAAAAATTGTAGTCAATAAAAGGCTTTTGAAGAAAGAATTAAAAAAATTTTGGAGACAGTTTTTTAGGATTAAATTCTAAAGAATTGATGGGTCAGGACAAATCATAAAAAAAGATAATTTTGTAAAAGGTAATGAAAATAATGTGAGAACGTACCAAAATTTTAGGGATGATAGCCAAAACATTCCTCATAGGAAAATTTAGATCTCCAAACATTTCCATTAGCAAAAGGGAGAAAGGGTAGGTTAGTGAATTGAGCCATGCAATAAAAGTGCTAAAAAATTCACAAATTTAAAAATCCAGTAAATGCGAATTGAGAAATTCTGAAAATTAAAAAAGAAATGAACAAAATTTTAAAAAAAATTTAGCCCATTGAATTAATAAATAAAACAAGGAGATGGGGTTTTTTAAACCAATACTATGGACAAATATATTATTTAATATTAAAAAAAGCAGAAAACCAAATTACAGTTATTAAAATGAATAAGGAGAATTCACAACAAATGAAGAAATTAAGAAAATTATTAGGAACTCATTTGTCCAACTCTGTTTTAATAAAACTGATGTCTTAAATCTCAGAGGTAGTTGAACTACATAGTTGAACTTCCGAAAGAAAAAACCCTGGGCTCAGTTATATGTATAAGCTGATTCTGTCAAACATTCAAAGATAATTCCAAAGTTATACTTAATTGTTCACAAAAATAGGAAAAGATAGGATTCTGCCAAATTCTCTCTGCAATGCCTAAAACAAGGAAAGTCTAAAAGGAAAGCTGTAGACCAATATCCCTGATGAATATCCAGGGACAATTTTAAAATACAGCATTAGCAAAGAAGCAGTAACAACGTATCCAGAAAAATTTTTCATTATGACTAGGTTGGATTTACTCCAGGAATGAAAGGTTGGCACAGTATTACAAAAGGTGTAGAAGAAATAGACCATTTCAATAAAATAACTATTAAAATAGTATGATTATATTAATAGATGCAGGAAAAGCTTTGACAAAATACAACATCCATTTCTGTTATAAAAACACTAGAAAACATAGAGATAAATGGGCCTTTATTAGTAAGTGGCATCTGTCTAAAATGAAGAGTAAGCATTCCGTGAAGTGCGTTAAATAAGAGACCTTTTCATTAAGCAAGGATAACCATTAATATCGCTAGTTTTTGATATAGTGCTAGAAGAGCTAATTGTAGCAATAAGAAAAGAAAAAGAAAAAAAGCAAGCGAGTAAGCATAGGCAATGAGGAAACAAAATTAATGTCTTTTGCAG